GACTCTCCAAAGCCTTTTGTTGTTTTGGGTTTGGGTTTTTAACTTTACTGTTAATGCTGTGGTGCCCATGATTTTATTGGAAAGCCTCACCAGAAGCATAGGTAGCATTCATGTGCTGCACAAATGTCATCTCTAAGATGATAGAAACTTTCTCTATGGCTCTCCTCACCTCTTCCTGAGGACATCCATAATTCTACCAACAGTCTCTTCAAGGCAGTCTCGGCTTTTACTATTCTAAAAGTCTCTACCCATTTCCCAATTCCGAAACCACTTTCACATTGTAGGTATTTGTTAGAACACTCCCATATTGGATATGGGACTTGTGTCCAGAATACCTAAAGCACTAGGATAAGCACTAGACTGCTAATTGCAAAGTCAGTGGTTCAAAACTATCAGCCACTCCTTGGAAACACCATGCAGGCTTTCTATGAGTCAGAACCGAGTCAATGACACTTAACAATGACACAATTTACAATTCAATAATAAGAAGGCAAATAACCTAATTTTAAAATGGGGATTTTCTTTAGCCATATCTCAAAAGATGATATATGAATGTCCTCCAGAAATCACATGAAGAGAGACTCAGAAACATTAGCCATCCGAGAAATGTAAGTTAAAATCCCAATAAAATAGCACTTCAACCCACTGTTGTTGTTATGTGTGGTGGAGCCGATTCCAACTCACAGTGGCCCTCTATAGGGTTTCCAAGTCCTGGTGTGATGCTATGGGATAATGACCAGAACGCCAGTTGGGTTTGAACCATAAGGTCAGAGGTTCAAATTCACTAGCCTCTCTTCGGATACCCTACAAAGGGTCGCTATGAGTCTGAACAGACTCGATGGCACTTAACAACAACAACATGCGGTTGCAGAGTGGCTGATGGGCTGGAACTGCCAACCTTGTGGTCCGCAGTCCAGCACTTATCCTACAGAGCCACTGCGCTCCCCCCAATGGATTGTTGATTTGTGCCTTTGAGTCAATTCTGACTCACAGTGACCCTGTAGGGGTTCCAAGGCTGTAAATCTCTACACGAGCAGAAAGACCCATCTTTCTCCACTGGAGGGACTGGTAGATTCGAACTGCTGACCTTGCGGTTAGCAGCCCAGCTCCTATGCTATCAGGTCTCCTTTATAAAGAAATTACAGGGTTGGCAATTTGGGGGCAACTGGGCTCTGACTGTAGGGGTCTTCTGACTGTAGGGGTCTCCTCCCCACGAGGCCAGGGAGGCCAGTCATAAGTGGACAGCTGTTCTCACCGCTGCCTCCCCTTCCATCCTACTCTACCCCATATCCCCAACGGCTGGGGCAGCCCAGCTAGTAACTGTAGGGCCTGAGGGTGGAAAGAGCCAGCGTGGGAGCCAGGGGACCTAGCTTCTTAGCCTACATCGGCTCCTTACTACTGTGGACCTATTAGCAAGTTATTGCTTCTCTCTTGGCCTCAGTTTCCTCTTCTGTTAATGCGCCAAAATTGTAAACACGATGTTCCTGGGACCTCTATGGCGAATCCTGTGAGATAAGGCAAGTGGGAAGGTCAGATAGTGCCAGACTTGTGACTATGATGGCTTTGAACGAGAGAGTCCCCCACCCTAGAGGTCTCGATGCCCCCTCATAACAGGAGGACTGTGCCCACAGAACTACAGGATTCAGAGGTCCCTGAGCCTGGGTGCTGAGTAGGAACTGGCGGCACTCAGGGGCGGGACGATGCCAAGCAGGGGCGGGGCTCGAACCTGTGGATCTGAACGACGGCTTTCAGCCCCGCCCCGAGACAGACGGTCACGTGGCGCGGTCACATGGCCTGACCCGGAACCGCTGCAACAGGCTCTAGGAAGGCTGAGTAGTGCTTGGCGGCGACCGGGTACGTGACTCCCCTGGCGCGTCAGAGCGCGGTTGCCCCCTTTGTGAGTGAAGGGGCTTCCTCCCGTATCCTCGAGGCCCGCTCGCAAGTGAGGAAGGGGCCGTAGGGGGTTCCCCAGCGTACCCCCAGCCTGATTGACCCAGGCCACCACTTGTGGCGGGGGCCAGTCCCAACACTTTCCGAGCCAAAGTTTTCTCCATCTGCCTAGGGGTTGGGGTGCCAAGAGCCTAGCCTTTCTCCCAGGGTCCTCCTGAGGCCTGGGGACGGGGGAGTTACAGCCGTGTAATCTGTAGAGTGCGGAGCAAACCGGGGCTGAGGTGGGGAGTCGCGGTGGCGAACTGCAATCTCGCCCGTTGGGGCGAGGCCAAGGCTTCAGGAGGGAACCCCAAGACCAAGCTGCCGGAGGGAAGTGAGGGCCCGAGCTCTTAATGGTGAACTTGGGCGTGTCCCCAGGCTGGCCCACACATCGGAAGCCCCCTTTGACATTGAGTACTTAGTCCCCTTTTTAAGACTAGACATACAGGGAAATCACCAAGTGACATTGGTCAGGTACTTCCTCCAAGAGCCTTTTGAAATATAAGTAAAACTCACATGTCCACTATAAAACTTACTGTTTTCCTAGGAATACTGCATAAAATCAGACTTGGTGGTGTAGCAAGTCCTGGTGATGTTGCAAATGATGCAGAACCCCAGGGAGACATGGCAGCCCTTCCTCTTTGTCAATATTAAAGCATATACTTTTTGGTTTTCTAAGGAGCTCTGGTAGCTTAGTGGTTACGAATTGGGCTGCGAACCACAAGGTCAGCAGTTCAAAACTACCAGCTGTTCCGCGCGAGAAAGATGAGGCTTTCTGCTCCGGTAAAGATTTACAGCCTCGGAAACCCTGTACAGGGTCGCTATGAGTTGGAACCGACTCCACGGCACATAACAATAACAACAATGAAGCTGAAACTTTGTATTGTTCCTGCCTTTTATCCTCAAAATAAGATGGTGCTGGGGGCAGTGTGGTCTGACCTGGTATTTGTAGGAGGGAAGCTGGGATTAGGGGTGACACGATACAGGAAGAGTTTGCTAAGGGTTGTTCTCCCTAGTGACCAATGCCTGTCACTGTAACCCTCTGGGGAAGTGCAGTGCATTTCACAGCAAAAGTCTGAGGCTCAGACAGGTGTAGGTGACTTTGCAAATCAGAAACTAGACCCGGTCTTTAGTGCCCATTGTGTCCCTGTTACTGTTATCCTGCTTCATCTGCTCTTCGTCCTGGGACCTGGCTTCCCCAGAAGCTTAGGATGTGCAGGACTGACTGTCTCATAAAAAGCCCCCTGGGGCAGCTTAGAGTGGGCTTGCTGAGCCAGATCACACCGTGGCTCTGAGAGACCCAAGTGGAGTGAGAGCACTGTGAATTCATGGTTGTGGTCACCTGCTGTGGAAAGCTTCTTAAGTCATTATGGAGGGGGAGGCCTGGTGTCCTCTGACACTCCATAGTGGACAGGCTGCCTGAGGGGCTGAGAGACCTCAAAACCACTCAGCTCTTCCTCAGCTTATCCATCGCCCAGGAACCAGAACACAAACCTCAGCTTGCCCTCCACTCCTCTCCCCTCTGTTTTAAGCCATCGCAGTACCAAGGATGCTGTGCATTCCTCCATAAGCTGGTCATCACGTCTGTCATCTGCAACCCTTTCTGAACCTCTGACTATCCAGAAACTCCATTGCTCTTCTTGCCAAGGTAGGTCAAACTGCCCAATGTAGGGCAGGAAAGGGGTGGTAGCACCCACAGTGAGGCTGTGGGAATAGACCTATGAGGCAGGCAGTGGGCGGAGCACGCCAGGTTCTGTGAGCCCTCACACTCCCATCCCCCTGCCCCAAACCCTTTTTTCTGTCACCTTTGCCTCTCTGCTTACATTCTCTGGATCCAGGTGGTCATTAAGGCTTGCTGAGCCTCTAAGCTTCACCTCTTGAATCAGTCCCTTCCTCTTCATACTCCTGGTCTCATTCCCACACTGAGATGACCAGCCTCCATGACCCTAACCTTGTATATCTCCAACCATCCTATAACATCTCTGCTCACTAGTCGACAAGGACCCCTGCTGTCTGTCAGTCACAGCCTGCCCCTTCCCCTTCTGTCAGGGTGGAGGCCCCAGCTATGTCACTCTCACCTGGGGGAAATATGGCCGCCACTGAGTCAACATCAATTTATGGTGACCTCATGTGTGCCAGAGTACAACTGTGTCCCATAGTGTTCTCATTGGTGACCTCTTGTGTGCCAGAGTAGAACTGTGTCTCATAGGGTTCTCATTGGTGACCTCGTGTGGGCCAGAGTAGAACTGTGTCCCATAGGATTCTCATTGGCTAATTTTTCGAAAGCAGATCACCAGGCCTTTCTTCTGATGTGCCCCTGGGTGGTCTTGAACCTCCAACCTTTCAGTTAGCAGCTGTTCATTAACTATGCACCATCCAGGCATCCTGCTCTCCTGGGAGTGCTCTCAAAATCAAGTTTGGTTCAGAGTCACTTCCAGATCCACCTGCCCTCATCATCTGCCTCACCTTGACAGCCTGCTGCTTTCAACCTCTGCTCTGCCTTAGTGCTTGCCCCTTACTGGAACAGAATTGGCTTAATGGCAATGGATTGAGTGTGGGTTTTAATGCTGAACCATACTCCTGGTTGGCTTTGGGGTTCCTCTTCCAGAGGTGGGTCTTTTCTTATCATGGGAGGCATGTCTCTGGACCCCCCTGCCTAGGGCAGAGGCGCACAGCTGCCTTCCATTCCAGACCAGCCTGTCCCGTCTTCTGAGAGCACGTCCCCCTCGTACTGTACTGTGGTTCTATGCCTCTTTCCCTAGCATGAAGATCCACAAGGCCATGTGTGGCTCTGACCCAGTAGACGAGCAGGATATTCTGGAGGAAAGAGCCCAGGCTGGGCATCAGGCAGCCCAGCTCAGCCACTTTTAGCTGGGCCCATGTCCTGTAAAATGGGGGACCTGAAGATTAGGTGGCCCTCATCAAAGGCCAAGCAGTGAGGCCACCTTCGTACCTTACTGAGTTGTGAGGGTTCAGTGAATGATGACAGGAAGGCCCCAGCTTGGAGCCTGCTGTGCAGCGTGGGGAGATGTGTCTGGGAAGGTGACCATGACCTTGTGTCTCCCTGGCAGATGAAGTGTGTCTTGGTGGCCACCGACAGTGCAGAGATTCTCTTCTACTGGACAGATGAGGAGTTTGAGGAAAATCTCCGGCTGAAGTTCGGGCAGTCAGACAGTGGGGAAGAGGTGAGTACAGGCTGGTGACAGAGCTGGGAGGCTGGGCAGGAGCGGGGCAGCACAGACAAGCAGAAGAAGCCAAGAGGCTGGGGAATCTGTGCTTAGCCCCTCCTGGTGCAGCCCGAGTGACCACCAGGGTCTTATTCCTCACGCTGTTATGCAGCCTGAGTTGGTCTCTTGTCTCTGGGACCATAGTCTCATGAGGACAGGAGAAAGCTGAATCTTCACCACCCACAGAGAACGTGATGGCTTCAGTTTCTCTACCCTAATGTTTTAGTATAAGCCGAACTCATTCATCTTTTTTAGCAGCTTCATTGAGGTATAATGACATACCGTGAACTGTGCGTATTTAAAGTGTACAGTGTGATGCTTTGATATATGTGTGTGTGCGTGTGTATATACACCCCCTGTGAATCCATTAATGAAATGTGAATATCCACTGTCCCCAAAGTTTGTCATCTCTCCTCCTTTCTACCTCCTCCCCACCCAGGTGACCTCTGATCTGCATTTTCTCCCTGTAGGTTAGTTTGCATATTTTAGACTTGATTTAATTTTATTGGGAGGAAGACTAATCTCAGTTTGAAGCAAGTGTGATTTGTGGAACATGTCGTCTTGTTGCTGAGACTATACACAGTGGAACATGCACTTGTTTAACAGTTTCTGTCTATGAACTTACTGCAAGTCGTGCAACTGGTCTCGCCCTCTTTCCTAAAATGTTCTTCCCACATTTCCATTAACTCGCTGTCCCCTCAGTTTCCTATTTAATCTTTCAAGTTGCTGCTGTCAGTTTGGTCCCACATACTTCAAAACCCCAAATCCACTGCCATCACTGTGTCCAGTTCTTAGTGACCCTGTAGGGCAGAACAGAACTGCTCCCTCGAGTCTCAGAGACTCATTCTTTACGGGAGCAGACAGCCTCATCTTTTACCTGAGGAGCAGCTGGTATGTTCCAGCTGCTGACTTTGCAGTTAGCAGTCTAATCGTAACCCATTGTACCACCAGAGCTCCACAAGGGATCACATAGATCTTAAACGAGCGCAAGTTCGTTCAAGTGCCATTAAGTTTGTTCCAACTCACAATGACAAGTGTATAGGGTTTCCAAGGAGCTGCTGGTGGGTTTGAGCCCCCATTAGCAGTTCAGTGCTTACCTACAGCACCACATGAGTCTAGGAAACCTTCTCTGTCCTGTAGGGTGGTTATGAGTTGAAATCAACTTGATGGCACACAGCAACAATATGTGTCTAGTAGAATCTTCCTGTATTTTAATTTTCACATCCTCAGCGACTAGTAGGTTTTGACCATCTTTTCATGTACTTATTTTCCAGGTTTGTATCGTATTGGTGAAGTGTCTGTTCAGATCTGTTACCCATTTGTTATCGGATTGACTTTGTTGTGTTACTTTTACTATTGAGTTTTAAGAATTTCTTCTCTATTCTGGATGCAAGCTCTTTGTCTTATCTGTGCTTTGTAAATTGTTCTTCCACGCTGGGCCTTGTCTTTGCATTCTCTTCGTGGTGTCTTTCAAAGAGCAGAAGCTCAGTCGTGACCAGGTCCAGCTTTTCCTTGTTTTGTTCTCATGGATCATGCCGTAGGTGGTCTAGCTAACAAATCTTTGCCCAATCCAAGGTCACAAAAATGTGTCTCTGGAAGTTCTGTAGTTTTAGGTCAAGTGATCTGTTTTGATTTAATTTTTGTATGTGGTATGAGGTTTGGACCACAGTTCTTTTTTTTTTGCATATGGACACTCAGTTTTAGCACATTAATATTGCAAATCAGGAATAGTTATCATTTTTGGTTATGTCATTTGACTTTTTATTGTGAATTGGGTGAATGTTTACAGCATGGATCAATTTTTCATATGACAGCTCATTGTAAAGGAGTGATTTATTTTTTTTTTTTTTTTGAAATCCCATGGAAGATTTTATGTGCTCCAAACATGCCACTTGCACCAGAATACAGACTTTTCCTTTTTTTTAAGAACTGTTTCCACCCAAATTACAGTTCATTATTTTCCTAAACATGTCTCAAAGAACATGTTTGTATTTCTTTAGAATGTAAAGAAATGTTGTATTTCTTTAGAATATAGAATGTTGTATTTCTTTAGAATATAACAATCTAAAGTTGGAAGATGTAAACCTGGAGGTCTTAGGTCAAAATTCTAACTGAGGTGGAAAAAAACTTGGCATGCTACACCATCACCATATGTTCGACCACATTGCAGGAATAAATATTCGTTGGAACATAAATTAGTTTGCAGCTTTTTTCTTTTTTGGTCTTTTGTTCTCAACTAGGAGCAGGGAAAGATGCTTGAGGTCAATGTAGATTGCAGATTTGAACGTTTATTTATTGCCTGAGCATTTAATCTGCCCTACATTGATGTTTTAAATTTTTTTATAGTTCAATCAATTTTGTATGTTTCAGAAAATTCTTCAGTGTAATTTAATGGCGCTCACTTGAATTGAGTCTTTATTTTGATTTTTTTTTTTAAATGGGAACTTTTGGCATTCAGGCACAGATCAATGAGTATATGGAACTTTCCAAATACTTTTGTAAGGTTTTAAAGGTAAGATAGTAACTTTAAATTTGTGTTTGAGGCAGAAGTAAGACTATATTAACTATCTTAGTTGTCATTTTGGGCGGGTTTTTTTTTCCACCCTTTGAGATAGTTTAATGGATCTATGGTGTCTTCTGAATATTCTTACTAGAATCTAAAATCTATCTAATACTTTCAGAGAATTTTATAAGCATAGTTAACAATTATTATAAATATTTTATTTTGGCTAAGTTCTACTCACTGTGGTTTTAAAACTTTTTTTCATGTAAGTTCTGTGTATTTTAAGCTAAGGGTTTAAAAGACAAGTTGATAAGCATTCAATATTTTAATTATTACAACTATGAAAATTATTTGTTTACAATAACTCTTTAAAAAAAATTCTCTGGCATTGAATTTAGCGGGGATGTCTAGATTTCGTCTCTCATACTTCGGACATACTGTCAGGAGGGACCAGTCCCTGGAGAAAGACATCCTGCTTGGTTAAGTGGTGGGTCAGGGAGAGGAAGGAAGACCCCCAGTGAGATGGACTTCCACAGTGGCAGCAGTAGGCTCAAATGGAGCAATGGTGGTGAGGTTGGCACAGGACGGAGGACTGCTTTGTTTTGTTGTGCATAAGGTTGTTATGAGTAGGTCCGGACTCGACAGCACCAAAAAACAATAATAACTGGCATTGAATCACAATTTTATTTTTCTGAGTATTATTTTTTAAATTGATTGTCATGATTTTTGTAAAGTATTGTTGAGTCAGTTCTGACTAATAGCAACCCTATGCATGGTTTCCAAGGAGCAATTGGTGGATTTGAACCACAGATCCTATACTACTGGCTTTCTGGAGAGTGGAAGATAAAAGAAGATAGGCTTAAAAGCATATGATAGCCTTTAATTGTTTGTACTATATAGATATTAATGAAAACTCTGAGATTTTTTGCTGTCATCATATTCATCCTCTTCTTCAAGGCCCAGTCAACGATTCACTGGAATTTTTTTACTTACTCTCTGGGATAAACACTGGACTGCGAAGCACAAGGCCAGCAGTTTGAGCTCACCAGTTGATCTGAGGGTTTCTGCTTCCACAAAGATTTGCAGCCTTGGAAACCCTGTACAGGGTCATCATGGGTTGGAACCGCTTAATATCAGGAAACAAAGGTGCTTTGCCTATCTTCTGAATGTCTCTTCCTTACTATTCTATTTCCTTAATTCTTCATATATACTATCAGGAGAGACCAGTCCCTGGAGAAGGATATCATGGTTGGTAAAGTAGAGTGACAG